CAGAAAAAGAAAGATATTCTGGAAAAAGGTGATATAGATGAAGCGCTGAATGCCGCCAACGCCATAGGTGATGACAGGTTACAAAAACGTTCTTCGGGTACAGTAGTGCCTGATGCGTTTACCCATGGCAGTTCTGCCCAAAGAATGTCCTGGTTCAAAAAAGGATTCGAAACGGGAGATATGAACCAGGGAAACACTTTTGAAAGTGCAGATTTGCAATAGTACATTAGGGAAATGCGGCGCCGGCAAGTAACAGGATAATTTATTGTTCTTTTATAATCCGCATGCGCGAAATATTGTTGCCGTCCGCATTCTCAATTACAGCATAATATACGCCACGGGGCAGTTTGCCCAGGTTATCTATTATAATTTCATTGTTATTGCCTGTTGGATATTGTTGCTTTAGCATTAATTGGCCAAAAGCCGTGAGCAGTTGCACACTAACTGATTGTTGTGTGAAGGCAGTTGATTGTATGACCAGTTTATCCTGGAATGGATTTGGAAACAGTTTGATACCTGCGGTCTGCTGTGAAGGCACAAAATACAATGTAGAAGAAAAACTAAATGTACCATCCCTATCGGTTAAACGGATACGGTAATAGCGGGCTGCATTTACCCTGTCGGTAAACTGGTATCGCTGCTCAATACCAACACTGTCCCGCGCAGCTATAATGCTCAGGGCCTGCCAGTCATTGTTGCCATTACTGCTGCTTTCAACTGTATACGACAAGGTATTTACAGCCTGGTTCACCGTCCAGTTAAGTCTTGCTACACCATTTACTTCGGTAACTGAAAAATGCTGCCAATGAACCGGCAATACAACCCCCGCGCGGCTAAACTGCAGCATCCACTCATAAATGCTGAGGCCCAGGCTATCACGCAGATTGCCATGTAAACCTTGCGATGTTTGACCGGGATTGATGTCTTCATAGGTGCGCGACCATACGTTGTGATCGCCATCCTGCCAGATCACCAGTTTCGGTGGTGGATTAATACGGGGCGTATACGCGTTTATAAGTGCAGCATTGTTAATTGTTTTTGTATAACTCACCGTCATATCGCCCCTGTTATGGGTAGCCAATACCGGCAGGTTGGAAGCTGCGATGGTATTGGCACCTGCAGCAGACAGGTCGCCTGCGCCGCATGCCACTACTATGCCGGCTAATTTGCTGGCGGCGGAAAAACTGCTGCCTGCATAAGACAAGGCAATACTTCCGCCCATGCTCATACCACACAGATAAATTTTGGAGGGATCTACACGGTAGGCAGATTTTGCATATTCTATAACCGCATCCACCGCAGGGGCAATGTCGGGATTGTCTACAACCGTCCAGTTAAGACCCTTTTTTACCTGAGGTGAAATAACAATGTATTTACGCCACTTGCCGCCAACATTGAAGCTATCCGGGAAAACGCCTGCTTTAATTAACTTGGGAACACCCCATGTAGTTACTTTATCCAGCACGCTCTGGCTGTTTCCTGTACCACTTTCTCCTGCTGCATGAAAAAACACCAGCAGCGGATAGCGGGTATTTATATCCGCTGCGTAGTTACGGGGAAGGTATTCATAAAAGCCATTGATATTTTCGTTCAGCACAGGGGCAAATTTGCCGGTGTGCGTCGGCGCCTGCGCTGTTCCGGTTTTAACAGCTACCAGCATACAAATAGCAAAATAAGTCAGCCAACCGATGAATTGTTTTGTACACATATACCCTGGTAATACACAAAACATATTCCGCTTTGGTGAATGCTACTGTAAAATGGCTTGCAGGTAGTGGACCTTATTCATTTGTAATGGCCTGCAATACCTGTTGCTGCTCACTTTTTATTAACAACATACCAGTGGAGCATTTGAATTGTTTGCTGTTTTCACTTGCGGGCTGAGATAACCTGCGAATACCCTCCACAAGGAATATAATGGCGTCACAGTGACAGCAGTGCGTAGCTGAAACAAGCTGCTCCTGCCGCTTCATGTAGAAATTTTGCTACAGTTTGGGCGCATCGTAAACCGTCACTTAGTCAATAAGCCGGCTTGCCTGGCCTTCGACGTAATAGGATGCTTGCTTTTTCACCTGGTTGCAGCAGCCCGCAACATTCACGGGCAGGCACAGGTATGACCTTCTATTGGTGGCGACATTTATTGACTTTTAATTAACTACTGACCATTTTAAACGGTATCCCAATAATGCAAAAAATTGTACCTTCATCCCAACATGTTTAGCAATTACTAAAAAGAATACAATATGAAAATTACGCTAGTGGCACTCTGCCTTTTATTTTCCGTTTCCATTTTTGCGCAACCTACCGTTACAGAACAATTTCAAAAAATAAACACGCTTGCCGAGGCCAACCAGTTTATCACCGCCAATGCAGCGCTTAAGCCTACGCTGCTGAAACTTGCTTCAGGAAAAGACAGCAGTCTAATAGAAAAGCGTTTATTACGGCAAAAAAAGGGCGATATATTTTCTGTAGGCTTTGTAACCTATAAGGTGCTGGAATTTAGCCAGGACCTTGCCTACCGCGCCAATTATATTTTCCTGGATGGCAGCTCACTTTCGCCTGCTGAAATTGACAGCCTGAAAAAACTGATAACACAGAAAGCTGCCGCTGGCGCCTCCTTTGAAAAATTGTCTGATGAGTATACTATGGATGGCAACACCACCCATGGAGACACCGGCTGGTTCTTTGGCGAAGAACAGATGCCCAAAGAGTTCCAGGAAGCCGTAAAAAACCACAAGACCGGTGACGTTTTTTTTGTAGATGTAGCAGAAAAACAATGGCATTACATTGTTAAAAAGACTTATGATGATCAGGATAAAAAAGAAATGACTGTGTTGCGCGCCAATGGCCGTTAAACAGCAAAACATTTATTGTTTACCACTTACTATTGAGAAAGCCGGCATCCCCAGGGGATGCCGGCTTTCTTATGTACGGTTCAAAGCCCCATTATGTTAAGCTGCGGGCCCGCCGGATTGTTCTACCTGTATTTCCTTATATTTATACCCATCTGCTATGGTAAATCTGCCTGCTATCCGCCAACATGTAATTGCAATGCTTTCAGCGGGCCTTTCCGGGGCCCTTACCTACCATGGTATTCATCATACGCTGGACGTCACCGCACAATGCCTGTCTATTGCCGAGCAGGAAGGGATCAGCGGGGAAGCTATTCTGCAGGAACTGGAAATAGCAGCCCTTTACCATGACACCGGCTTTCTGTTTACCTATGAAAAACATGAAGAAAGAGGCTGTATTATTGCCAGGGAGCAGTTACCCGGGTTTGGCCTTGATGCCGCGGGTATTGAAGCAGTTTGTGCACTTATAATGGCAACACGTGTGCCACAGGAACCTGCTAATCACCTGCAGCAAATTATATGCGATGCAGACCTGGACTACCTGGGGCGGGAAGATTTTCCTGAAACCGGTAACCGTTTGAAACAGGAGCTGATGACGTACAACCTGGTGGCAGATGAGCAGGATTGGCAGGAAAAGCAACTGCAATTTTTGCAGCAACATCATTTTTTTACCGCCACTTCGCGCCGAAACCGGGAACCGGTTAAAAAAGCGTTTATACAGCAACTTTTAAAGAATAAAAAATAGCAAAATCAAATACCGTCAGCTGAAACTGTAAGATGAAACAAAAAAAATTCTGGTTACGTGCTTTAAATGTGCGGTCTTATGAAGGCAAACTGGTAAAAAAACTATTCCTGCTGCAGTTTTTCCAGGGTGCAGGCATCGCTTTTTTCTTTACCGCCGCATTTGCCCTGTTTCTGAGCCGTATTGCCATCACGGCCATGCCGATGGTGTTTATTTACTCATCGTTAATGCTGTGGGCAGCAGGATTTCTGTATGCCCGCATTGAACATAAACTCCACATCAGCAATCTGGCCATTTTTGTTACCGTTTTCATGGCTGCCAGCATCCTGTTTTTCAGAATAGCGTACATCTATACCCAGGCACAATGGTTTCTCTACTGTATGCTGGCATGGTTTAACGTGCTGTACCTGCTCAATAACCTTGAATTCTGGGGGCTTGCATCGGTGCTGTTTGATGTAAGGCAGAGTAAACGGCTATTTGGTGTGATCAGTGCAGGTGATATTCCTGCAAAATTTATCGGATATACCCTGGCCCTGCTCTCAGTACAGTACATCGGCACTATTAACCTTCTGCTGATAGGTGTGGCCTGCCTGCTGGCCTCTGTTCCCTTCCTGGTCAGCATCAAGAAAAATGAAATGCTGGCCGAAACACAACATACACAAGGGCATCATCCGCCGGCTCCACCGCCAGGGCATGCTGCCGGGGAAGTGAGCAAAATTGTAAGAGATTTCTCAGTCAATACACTCATCAGGCGGCTGGCAGCGTTAAGCATTATCATCACCGGCA